ATGAAAGCAGAGGTAATTATGGAAGCCACAGGCGGCTGGCTGAGCACTGATAAGTAATGCTTCTTGAGCCATTTATGGGTTGTTGGGAGCTTGCGAGGGGGAGGAACCTGGGGACCGGGAAGTAAGGGAGTAGGAGCTGCTGGCTTTCCAGAGACGCTGGTCAATTTCTGCTCAGTGGGGAGGAGTAACACGATAAGTTCCAGCAGGATTACATTGTTAGAAGCAATGTTGCTCAACCCTGGCAGCTGGAAGATCGGTGGACTTCAACTCCCAGAATTCCCCAGCCAGCAAAGCTTTCTGTTTCTTTTGTGTTTGTTTTCTTGCAGACGTTTCATAACCCGACTTGGGAGCATCCTCAGTGCTAGAAGGGAGTGGGGTTAGTGGGGGGGAAGAGGAGGAGGAGGACAACTGTGGGATCCTTGGTGCTTTCTGAGCTTGGTTGCTTTCTTGCAGACATTTCATGACCCAACTAGGTAACATCATCAATGTTAGAAACAATGAGCATTACAGCCACTAACTTGGAGAGCACATTCTAGACCAGAGCTGTACATAACGCAAAGGGGAAAGTGGAAGAGACATTTGGCTGTTCTGAACCTCAGCATGTCCAGCCTTCTTGTGTCTACGTAGCGTTGCGGTTCCATTCAAAGACTCAACGTTGACAAGGTGGCATTCAAAGAGGGAACTGTTTAGGTGAGATGGTTGGATTGAAGAGGCACCATGGCTCCCAACATATTCTTCTTCTCCTCCAGCAGCTGGAAGAGGACAGCTGCCTCTTGAGTCTTCTCTCCAGTTCTCCACTCCTCCTGCTGATGCAGCTTTCACTCCCAGCTGTGGTTCAAATGCATTGACCTGAGCAGAACTGGAAGAGTGCCTTGTTTAGCGGTAGTGGGTGTAACAAGGGCAGAGGGGCAGAGGCCGGGTCCCGGCGGGCGAGGGCAAGTGGTAGAGTTCAATCCACCCCTTCCCTAACAAGCTCACTTGGATGGCTGCCTGTCTCAAGCTCTTTTCCAGAAATGCAGCATATGTTTCTGCACAAAGAAGACTTGGCTCTCGGCCAACCAGCTTCCCCTCGCCTCTGCCTAAACCCTGGCCAGAGCTTTCTGCTAAGCAGTGACCTCACTTAGATAAATGGTGAATGGATGGGAATTTTTGTGCTTTGTTTTCTGACGGGTCTCTGCGTTGAAGCTCCAAGGGTTTTCTCCTGTTCTTATTGCATATCACCCTGCGCAGCACAGCGGTGCCCGCCGTGCAAATATCAGATAAAGGAATCTCTCCATTTCCGGCCCAAAGTGACTGCCTTTGTTAATGGCAAGTGAAGCATTAGTACACCGATTTGCAAGGGTCCTGCTCCTGAGCGTTTATTATTTATTTATTGGCCAAATGTATATGGCCGCCCATCTTGCCCAAAGCGATGTACGATCTTGGGTGGTGTATGATCAAAACCCAAAGGATGAAGATATTTTGCAAACCCATTGACGCAGCGTGCAGAAAGCATTATTCAGAACGGTTCCAATCCACAGCTCTGCTCCTTTTCCTTTCCTCAAGCTCAGTAACCTGAAGATGTGTGGACTTCAACTCCCAAGGATTCTGGGAATTGAAGCCCACACATCGTCAAGTTGCTGAGGTTGAGAAACCCTGCTTTAGGGGATATAGAGTTTCCAACGTCTAGGGCAGGCAGAGGGCAAATGGAGCACATTTTCCTGCTGTACTTGCTTTGTCCCTTGGCTGGGGGGGGGGGGGCGGGGAGCCTCTCCACCCCTCATCCTGCAACACAAGCTGAAGAGGGATGCTAATTTTAGCTTTGCTAATGAAGCCGTTCACTGGCAATTCTATTTTAAGTGACCCAGCATCAGCAGTTCCTCTCTTAAAGGCAGGAGACACTGACATTCCAGAGTAGAAGGAACAGCGTCTCCAAGAGGCTGGAGGTTGGGGAAAGGGGGTCAGGGATGATTGATTGGTGCACCCCTCCAGGAGTTTCCAGTGTCCTTTTCTTGGGATCCCAAGTCTGGAGGTACTTCTGGTCTTCTGAAAGTCCTGAAGGGTGGAACGTAGCTTTTAAATCCTAGGAAAGGACAGGGGAAATGGTGGGACTCAGGAGAACTACCTGACGAAGGAGCATCAATTAGAATAGAGCTGGAAAGGACCTCGGAGGTCTTCTAGTCCAACCCCCTACTCAAGCAGGAAACCTTATAGCAGTGGTTCTCAATCTTTTTAATGCCGCGACCCCAACCGGCCGTAAGTCGAGGACTACTCAACCGGTCCTAAGTCGAGGACTACTCAACTGGTGCAGCACCGTTTGTAGAATGGGACTTTTGGCGGGCTCAGCAGGGCAGAGACAGCCTGGACAATTCCTATTGGCTTTTGAAAGTCAATAGAATTAGACTCTATTCAAGAGAGTCTATTCTATTGGCTTTCAAAAGCCAATAGAATAAAAGGGAGGAGCACAGCTAAGGAAAAGGGGGAAAAAATGGCGGACAGCGTTGTTTGGCGACCCCATGAAATGGTCGTTCGACCCCAAATGGGGTCCCGACCCACAGGTTGAGAACCACTGCCTTATACCATTTGAGACGAGTGATTGTCCAGTCTCTTTTTAAAAGCCTCCAGTGTTGGAGCACCCACAACTTCTGAAGGCAAGCTGTTCCGCTGGTTAATTGTTCTTATTGTTGGGAAAGTTTCTCCTTAATTCCAGGTTGCTTCTCTCCTTGAGAAGTTTCCATCCATGGCTTCTTGCCTTGCCTTCTGTTGCTTTAGAGAATAGGTTGACCCCCTCCTCTTCTTTGTGGCAGCCCCTCAAATATTGGAAGACTGCTATCCTGTCACCCCTGGTCCTTCTTTTCTCTAGACTAGCCATAGCCAATTCCTACAACCGTTCTTCGTATGTTTGAATCTCCGCATCTGATCTTGGCCTTGGGAATGTGGGAACCTCTCTCGTGACCTGGGCTGGCTGGCACATCCTCGGCCTCCCAAACTTTCTTTCCAAAAATCAAAGTCTGGCTGTCTTGGGCTCAGTCTGGTTTCTTTTCCTACCTTGTCAACAGATGGAAGACCCGTTATCTACCTTCAGGCTGCGGCTGTGTCAACCTTTCTGATTTCCTTAACCCAGTTCTTCACAGGAGGCCTGGATTCATTGTTCCCTGGGCAGTCACCCCTCTCATTCCCCCCCTGCTTCGGGGACATTCTCTGGCAAGGCTTTGGCCTCTGAGTAAAGATTGCTGGCAGCCAAAAGAAAAAAGTAATCCAAGAAAAGAGAGTGAGAAAGAGAAAGAGAAAGCGGGGGGGGGGGGGAGAGAGAGACTCTCTTGCCTGTGGCTGAAATCCTGCAAACAGTTTTCTTTCCTCTTTTATATTTATTTATGTATTGTGTTTCTGGTTAGGCTGTTGTTTCATCTTGGGCATTTTTCTTGATTTGACTGGAAAAGTGGGGGAAACTCTTTTCTTGCTGGGTCTGCAACAAGTCCGCTCTAAAGAAAAAGACATTTTATTTTTTAAAAAAAAATATTTATTGAATTGATTTGCCACCCATCTTATGGCAAACGACTCTGAGTAGCAAAAGGCACGGTGGGATTCTGCCCACCTGAAATCCTTTGTGAGCAGAACAACAGTGTCTGTCCTGTTGCGTAGGTACAAATAGTTCTGAGTGTGCCACTGTTTGTTTAGTGACCGTTCAAAGTTAAAATGGTGCTGAAAAAAGTGACTTGGGACTGTGTTTTACACTTAACAACCATCGCAGAATGCCCCTAGTCACACAATCAAAATTTGAACGCGTGGCAACTGTATCTCTGATGGTTGCAGTGTCCCAAGGTCATATGATTCACCTTTTGTGAACTTCTGGCAAGCCAGATTTTGTGGACAACTTAACAAATGCAGCGATTCGCTTAACAATTGTCCAAGAAAGGTTGTAAAATGGGCTAAAACTCACTTCACAACTGCTTTGCTTAGCCATGGTATCGAGGGATACCCGTAATTACAGAGGTTGTGAGAGGAAGGCCACAAGATACTGATGAGGTGGTGGGAGATGGTGGATGGACCTCAGTGCGCTATGAGAGTGGCTAGTCTCCATGCACAACTGAAGTCGGCATTTTTGTTCTGCATCACCTGTTGGACTGGACCTAAGGCATCGTTTTGGTAGATGGTGACGCAGGTTATGAAAGGGTTTCCACATATTCATGCATCTTCTCTGAAATCATTGATGTGGCCAAGAAAATCCTTGGGGGTCGTGATAGCTTGGACACGTTTCTGATAGCTTGAAGAAATGAGCAGAGAGGCTTCTTGCTTCCTTGCAGGCTTGTGGTGTCATATGTGAAAAAGGCGGGGTGTATGCATGTTTGTGCAACATCATAGGAGTTGAATGAAGTCCCTCCTTCCTGGAGGCCACCATGGTCTGAAAGGCTGGGTGAAAGGGTGATAGACACCATGACCTGAGTTCTGCAGATGGAAGAATAAGAGTCTCATCCCAAAGACTCTTAGATCAGACTATGATCTTTGGATCTCCTCTAGCAAAGCAGCTTATTGAAAGAGTCCCTTTTTTGGCAAGATGGGAGGCAGACAGTGTCCTAGAAGTTAAGTGGCCATGACAGGTATCTCTTGGACCGTCCCATCCCAGATATTGGTCTTTTGTTTTCCACGTAAGTTGGATGAGGGAACGTTTTCCTTTCTAAGCTATGGTCCTCCAGGTTTTCCTTTAAAAAATGCCTAGAACAGACTTTCCCAACCTTGGGACCTTTAAGACACATGAATGTCAGCTCCCAGAATTCCTGCAGGTGAAATCCATGCATCTTAAAAGTGCCAAGGGTGGGCAACAGAAGCTTCCTGGAAAGTCAATGCAGAATTATTTGGGCAGCCAAGAGGGCATCTTTCCTCCTCTCCTCCTTGTTCCTTGCTCCTTCCTCTCCATGTGGATCTTCAGCACCTGGTTAGCTCCTCATGTGTGTGTGTGATGTGTGATGTGAGTGTGATGCCTTTTCTTCCAGTGATGTGGATTCTTTTTCTCATTGTTTCAGGCATGAGCCATGAGCCAAAGTCACCCTCTCTAGGAATGCTTTCAACCGCCACCCGGACCACCGCCACCGTCAGCCCCCTGACCCCTTCTCCTATCAATGGTGCCCTTGTGCCCAGTGGCAGTCCGGCAGCCAACAGCACTTTACAAGTCCAGGCTGTGCCCTCCTCCAGCTTTGCCGCCGCCTTGCGCAAACTAGCCAAACAGGCTGAGGAACCCAGAGGTAAGAGAGAGGGAAGTTGGTGGTCCGTTGGGTTCGGAGATAGAGGGGTATGCCAGCCAAGCAGGGCAAGTAACTTCAGTAGAGACAAGAGGCATCCCACCCCCTCTCCAATCTCAGTATCTCAAAGGATCTAGCCCACAAAGTCCTTAACTTCTCACCAGCTTTCTTGTTCGTCCTTACTCTTACAAGTCCTCCACGTTCACAAATGATACAATTTCTACTGCTGGCGTCATTCAAAGGTGAATAGCCAAAGGTGCCCTTGAAATATGTTATTGATTTATTTACTTACTAAATATATACAACGATAGCATTTAGGCTTATATATCACCCCCTGGCACTTTACAGCACTTCCTGGGCGGTTTTACAATGTAAACCATATGTGCGTCTTGCCCCCTGGGTCCTCAATGTACTGACCTTGGGAGGATGGAAGGCTAAGTCAACCTTGAGACCCATCAGGATCGAACTCCTGGCTGCGGGCAGAGGTTGCCTGCTATGCTACCCTTGAACCACTGCACCAAATGTGTCTGCCTCCTCCAGACACAGTGCCCAGGATAGACATTCCTCCCATTTCTCCGATAGATCTCGATTCCCAAAGGGAAGGGCCAGAGGCTGAGGACCCTTGGGGACCTCCGCAGCCAGCCTGCTTGCACCTCTGAAGACAGAGAGGGATAGAAAAGCCGCGTCCTTCTAGAAGGACATCCGGTGCGCCAGTGTCTAATTCTGGAAGGAGGAAATTGCTAGTTCAGGACTCGCCACCGCCAGCAGCGGCACCGTTTTGCAGAGCAAGGCTGGCCGCTTCTCCAGCCCCATCATCTGCGGAGCCAGCCAGGTCTGCTCCTGGCACTCCTCGCCCGTCGCTCCTTCCTCCCCGCTCAAATGCTTGTTTTATTTTTAGCCATTGAATTCTCTTCTCTCCCCCGCCGCTTGATGGGCTAATGTCTTTCCTCGGCATTGTGTCTCGAGGGGACAGTTTAAAAATTCAATTCAGACAGAGTAATCCAAATGCCATATCATTTGTTGTACCCCCAGAGAAAGTCTGGAGTGAGCAGAGGAAAAGAATGTGTCCTTTCCCCTGCAAATATAGGTCTCGTTGCCGCTGCTATGCTTCAGTGAAATTTTATTTTTCCTCGGGCTCCTAAATCTGTTCTTTCACCATCCAAAGCTTCTCCGCTAAACGGCTGCTGCTGGGTGCCGGGATGGTGAAATGCACATCTGAATATTTTGCTCTTTAATGGGCTGTTTAACTGGGGCCTGGTTGAAGGTAGGAGCCAGCAGGAAGAGATGGGGATGGAAGTCAGCAGAGCAGCAGAGAAGCTTGCTAGGGGGAAAACAGGAGGAGGAGGAGGAGGAGGAGGAGGAGGAGGAGGAAAAGAAGAAAGAAGAAGGGGAGGAAGAGGAGGCGGAGGAGGAGGAGGAGAAGGAGAAGAGGGGAGAAGGAGAGGAGGAAGGGAAGGAGGAGAAGGAGAAGAAAAGGAGAAGGAGAAGAAGAAACTAATCTAGATAGGAGGAATAGAGAAAAGGAAAAAGAGAAAAAGAATAATTTAATCTAGGAAACGAGGAGGAGGAGAGGAGGCGGAGGAGAAGAGGAAGAGGAAGAGGAGGAGGAGAAGGAGAAAAAGAAGAAAGAAGAAGGGGGGAAGAGGAGGCAGAGGAGGAGAAAGAGAAGGAGAAGAGGGGAGAAGGAGAAGAGGAAGGGGAGGAGGAGAAGAAACTAATCTAGATAGGAGGAATAGAGAAAAGGAAAAAGAGAAAAAGAATAATTTAATATAGGAAACAAAGAGGAGGAGGAGGAGGAGAAGAGGAGGAGGAGGAGGAGAAAAAGAAGAAAGAAGAAGGGGAGGAAGAGGAGGCGGAGGAGGAGAAAGAGAAGGAGAAGAGGGGAGAAGGAGAGGAGGAAGGGAAGGAGGAGGAGGAGAAGAAACTAATCTAGATAGGAGGAATAGAGAAAAGGAAAAAGAGAAAAAGAATAATTTAATATAGGAAACAAAGAGGAGGAGGAGGAGAAGAGGAAGAGGAGGAGGAGGAGGAGGAGGAGGAAAAGAAGAAAGAAGAAGGGGAGGAAGAGGAGGCGGAGGAGGAGAAAGAGAAGGAGAGGAGGAAGGGAAGGAGGAGAAGGAGAAGAAAAGGAGAAGGAGAAGAAAAAACTAATTTAGATAGGAGGAATAGAGAAAAGGAAAAAGAGAAAAAGAATAATTGAATCTAGGAAACGAGGAGGAGGAGGAGGAGAAGAGGAGGAAGAGGAGGAGGAGAGGAAGAGGAGGAGGAGGAGAAGAGGAAGAGGAAGAGGAGGAGGAGGAGGAGTTTAATCTAGTCCAGGCTAGAACTACAAGTCAGAGTTCTCTTTCTGTTTAAATCTTCATTTGCCTTGACCTTTGAAAGCAAAGGTGTCCTCTTCCTCTGGAGCAGAGGCCAAGCAGCCACCACCTTAGAGGAGAAGACACAGAAAGCTGCCCTGCCCAGCAGCCAGGGCAGATGCTCCCTGAGGTCCCATCTTGAAAGGCAACTTGCTACCCAAGATCGGTCCTCTCTGGAGGCAGCAGCCTTGAGTGGAGGGTCCATGTCTTTATTGCTGAGCAGCTGTTCCTCTGCAAATAAAAGAAAAAAAGGGGGGGGGAGCCCAGCCCAGTCTGATGGCAAATGTTTCCCCCTCTTGATGTGCAGATCTGAGTGGAGCAGAAGAACCAAGGTGCCTCCTTCAAACCTTGGGCAGCTTCACACCCAGATTCCCAAGGCTAACAGGAAGGAAAACCTGCTATGAGCAGACACTTATGGAAGGATGGGGCGGATTAATGGCTTTTTTGCTCTTTCTAAAAGTTGGAGGGGGACTGGGGAGCCAGGAAATTTCACCTGTGCCTGCTGCATTGCTTTGGAGAGCAAAAAGTCCTGTATAGGCCAGCTGAAGCCAGAGGCTTAAGACCCAGGAGTCAACAGATGGCTTTCCCAGCAGGAGAAGGATGAAATGAAATTGTCCTTCCTGGCTCTGTTAAAATCCATGGCTTGCAGTTGCCAGCTCAAGGCCCCTTTGAAGTGGGGGGCTCCTGACGCCATCGGGAATATCCCACCACCCCTCTACCTTCTGCACAGCATCTCGCTGACTGTTTTGGTATCCTAGATCCCATAGTGGCTGCTTTGTTATGCCACCACGTCTGTTCCTTTCAGAGGCGTCTTTCTTCCCACAGAGGCTTCCTTGTGTGTAGCAATTATCTCAATTGGAGTTGAGAGTCAATGAAGAATGGCTGGAATGCAGCCCTGGGTCTTTGCTTGCAGGTGAGCAAATTTGTGCTCTCAAGAAGAGCCAAAGGCAACCTTCCCAGAGCAGGAAACAACTTGGAGGCTTTTGAGGATTCAATGAAGCTTGGAAAGCGGAGGGGGGCTGGTGGTTACTCTCACCTTTGCAGTGTAATAGCCAAAACTGCATTTCCCCCCCCCCACCCCCATAGAAGCAATCTCTCTAGGTGCCTGCTCTGCTGTATAGATCCATCCCATATGCTCAGGCTGGGGCTCAGAGCAATTCTGAATAACAGAATAACAGAGTTGGAAGGGGCCTTCGAGGTCTTCTAGTCCAACCTCTGCTCAAGCAGGAGGCCCTATACCATTCTAGACAAATGGCTGTCCAGTCTCTTCTTGAATACCTCCAGGGATGGAGCACCTACAACAGTGGTGGCGAACCTATGGCACGGGTGCCAGAGGCGGCACGCAGAGGGCATGCGTGCCGTCGCCCCAGTCCTAGGCCTTCAGCTGGGTTTTATAAAACCTTTTCCCTTTAGGCCTCCGCTGCCGTGTGCAAAAAAAAAAAAAACAAGGTTCAATCAATCAATTTCAACTTCTTGCGGGGGGGGGGGGGGAAAGATCTTGCAAAGTTGGAATTGATTGATTGAACTTTTTAGTCCCACCCAGTTTGCCGTTACCACTGCAGCCACGCCCACCCAATGGGCCACGCCCACCCAATGGGCCACACCCACCCAGCACCCGACGATGCATAAGTGGGTTTTGGGTTGCAGTTTGGGCACTCGGTCTCTAAAAGGTTCGCCATCACTGACCTACAAGGTCTGGAGGCAGGTTGTTCCACTGGTTAATTGTTCTCACTGTCAGGAAGTTTCTCCTTAGTTCTAGGTTGCTTCTCTCCTTGCTTAGTTTCCATCCGTTGCTTATTCTCCTGCCTTCAGGTGTTTTGGAGAATAGCTTGACTCCCTCTTCTTTGGGGCAGCCCCTCAAATATTGGAAGACTGCTATCATGTCACCCCTGGTCTTTGTTAGATTAGACCCACCCAATTCCTGCAACCGTTCTTCGTATCCTTTGGCCTCCAGCCCCCTAGTCCTCTTTGTTGCTCTTCTCTGCACTCTTTTCAGAGTCTCAACGTCTTTTTTTATATATCGTGGTGACCAAACCTAGCTTGGAAAGGGAATAAAAAGGAACTGAAGCCTCCCAGCCTTCATGATGGCTTTGCCTCTCCTGGAATTGAGGTTGTAGGCAAGCAAGTTGCAAAGCAGCTGAACGTTTCCAGCCTCTCCGTCAAAGGAAGGCTAAAGCAGGCCAAGCTAATCAGACACTTAAATGCTACGAGCCGAGGAAAAGAGGCAGAAAATGTATTATTGTGGGGGAAATTACCAGCTCTTTCTTCAGAGAGTGTTAATCATCGGCGTATGGCCTCCCTCCTTTCCTCTTCTCCCTAAAGGAGAAATCAATTTGAGAAATGCTATAGATTAGAAGATGCTTCACCTCTTCTTCTCTCATCTTTCCGTTCCCTCCCCAATTTTCCCCACGGGGAAGGGTAGGCTTCCCAATCCCCTTTCTCCCTTCCCTCTCCCGCTGCTGAAGGCTTAGCCCATCAAAAGCCACATTACAGGATTTGGACATTGATTTCCTGAAGCGGGCCTGCCTTCCGCCAGCCCCCCCCTCTCTCTCCCCCCTCCCGGTGCCGTAATTTCCCCTTTGCAAACTATATACAAATATCTACCCCAGCAAGATTTGGTTGGAAGTGGAAAAAAAAAAAAAAACG